ATTAAAAATGTAATTTATCAACTCTCAAATATAATGTCCCGCAATTCCCGCAGAAAGGTCACTTGTTTTATTTCATATACTTGTTTATAATGCAATAAATGAACACATAGGTCCAGGCGATGGCTCTAATCATGACTTACCCTCCAGTTAAGTCTGCTCTTTTAGCCCTGTCCACCAGTAGCCTCAGTAGGCATGTCGCGACTCTGGGTTTCAAATGAAAACGGTTTACTTAGGTGATTCTGTGATATTAGATTCCCCAAGAGTCGATGATTCAGTATAAGAGGGAAAGGTACACTGAACAATTCTGGCTAATAAACTAATAATAAGCATTCTGCTTGTCACTTTGTCCAAGACCTCTATATCAGCAAGGTAAGAGAAGATATCAGTACTCAAATATCATACGATTAAATACGCTTAAGAATGAGTACAGAAACTACGATCAAGTACTGGGTAAAGTTCCTAGAGTGCTAATAAGTATGTGAAAGTTTTTGAAAGTCAGAGAAATAAGCTTATGGTTGACACAAATTTAGTTCAGGGACTCCTCTGTCAACACGCGTCTCTGTATTTTCGGTAGGTAATCGGGGTAAAATAAGCGAAGCACCTAATTTGGACCGTAGTGCACCCGCACGCGTTCATATAAAGGAAGAAGACCCCTTATTCATTCAAATCCGGATACTTGCGGTTACTGTCCCCGCACGTGGCCTGGGAAATGCGGATCTACGTTTTTCGGGATCATAGACCTAAACCCACATACTATAAAGGGCGAAAAAACCCATAATTACGTCAACGGTTGCAGATCACCGCCTGTGAGGAGAGGGTGAAGTGGTGAGTAACAGGAACGTTTATAATAAATATGCAGGACATTGAGTACTTTGCGTTCTGAAACGAAGAGGGTGGGCGGTGCAGTGATGACGACTGGCAACAAGGGAAGTGTGGTTCCGATCAAAAAGTTGGACAGAAGCCTAAAACGCGGCCCCATCTGGTGAACCGGAGAACCCTAAATAATAATCCTAAAGCCTAACTCTGAATCCTAACCCTAAACCCAAACCCTAGATCCTAACCCTAAGCCCTAACTCTAAATCCTAACCCAAAACCTTACCTCCCAATCCTAACCCTAACCTCCAGGTACTAACCCTAACACTAAACCTTAAACCCTTAACCCCTCCAAATACTAACCCTAACATTAAACTTTAAGCCCCTAAACGTTATTCTAAACTCCAGTCCTAACAATAAACAGAAACCCACGTACTGGAGTCGACATTAGTACGAAATTCCTAGGCAATTGACTAGAAAATTACTAGATGAGGCCGCGTTTCAGGCCTCTGCCAAGACTTGATTAGTGTTAGAATTTGGGTCAAGGTTAGGATCGGGTCGAAGTTAAATGTTAGGCGGTGGCTATAACTGCTTATGATCCACAGTTTTATAATCCATCAGTGAATACTTCGCTCTGAGCAGTCCAATATCAAAATATTTTGGTTCTACTGGCTGCAGCTGCTAAGTGTCTCACTTTGAAGTCTAAAAGACGAAGGGCTGGATAAGATTTTATGTAGCACCATAAAACAAGTTACCGTGCGTCATCCTATGTAAATAACAGTCAAACTTCTATCTGGAAAAATTCCGCATTTGATCTTGAGCATTCTATTTAAACTAGAGCTGCATATTTTATACATCTTTCTTTTTTCTAACTTTGCTATTATTTTTCCCTGGGACTCAGGTTTTTTTAACTTGAAAAAACTCTCGATTCGCGCTCTATTGACTAAGCAGACACCCAAAACAAATGAAGTCAAAGTGCAACCGAAGTGGATGAGTTTGATTAAGGAGGAGGCGTACTCACGTATGTAAAAAATGGGCTAAATGTATCAGACAAGACCGATAACTTTTCGTGCAGTTCCGAGGCAATCTGGTTGTCTATTAAAGTGCCAAGCTCGCCTAGCCTCGATGTCCTGACAGTTTATCGACCGCCGAGACGGGACAACATGGCCGGCGCTCGCCTGCTGGAGGAGCAGTTAATGT